AAAATAATTTCTCCGCATTGCTGTTTAAGACTCTTAGTTTAGTTTGAATACATATCTAATGTGCTATGTGAACTGGTTTTAACTTCTTTAATTTGTGTTAAAATAAATATTAAGGTTTATATAATAATAAAGATTTATATAATTTACATACTAAAAATGCACTTTAGTACATAGATCCAGAGACCAATTTAAAACAAAACTATCCCCTTCCCAAAAAAAAAAAAGAAAACCCCTACAGGATCAGAGACCTAGGCGCTTGATATAGAAATTATGGTTTGAAGTCAAAGACAAGCATGCCAGTAGACTGAAGCACGAAGCATGACACTTAATGCACGGACAGTGTTCATAAACCATGGATTTCAGCCCAACATTGATTGTTGCAGTGAAATTACTAAACTTCTCTCCAGCTATTATCCACAGGTAGTGTTCCAACCATTCCTCTGGCAGGGGTGAAATGCCAGGAGTAGAACAGGGTAATCTTAATTGGCATCCAGCAACAGAAATTGCAGCTAGGCTCAGGAAGCTTCTGGAAACTCTTTAATTCTTTACAGGTACAGAATTGCTGCAGGCGACCAAACTTTGGAGCCAGCAATATAACAAGAAGAGTTAAGCAATCTGTTACTGTGAGGGAATTCTCTGAGAAAAGAGGAGAAAGAGTTTTCCTTTTCTGGTGAGAATGACTTACTTGGCAAAGCTGATCTCTTGATAACTGAACTGAGATGACCAAAAAACACACACACAAACAAACCCCCAAACAACAACAAAAAACAACCCACAGAACCTCTAGATTTTAGAATATATCTTCATTATCTTTGATTTGCTTCACTATTTTTTAAAAAAGAAGGCCTCTATAGTTTTCTGGGTCATATATGTATAGCTGCAGTGTGTGTGTGTGTGTGTGTGTGTGTGTGTGCACACCTGTGCACATGCACATGCTGATTTTTATGTGTCCCCACAGTCTCCTGGCACAGTTTTGTTCTTTTCTTTCTCCACACCGATATTCATGTAACTTGAACAAGTTAAACAAAGATCATGTGACAATGCATGGGCTAAATCTTTTCACTTAATGAAATTTAGGAGTTATCATTATGTGTTTGGTTGAATATATTTTGACACACCTGTGCACGTGCACATGCTGATTTTTATGTGTCTCCACAGTCTCCTGGCACAGTTTTGTTCTTTTCTTTCCCCACACCGATATTCATGTAACTTGAACAAGTTAAACAAAGATCATGTGACAATGCATGGGCTAAATCTTTTCACTTAATGAAATTTAGGAGTTATCATTATGTGTTTGGTTGAATATATTTTGAGAAGTAGCAAGCTTCCCCTTACCTCCAATTTTTAAAATGGGGACATTCTCTGACTAGCATATGATTCTTTGTAGCACTCCACAATAGATAAGAAGAGAAAAGAAAGGGTTCAGCATCAAGGAAGTGGGAAGGGAGAACATTCTTCAATTTCTAGTTTACTGTTTACAAAGGGAGTACTGGATGTGTCTGTTCAGTGACCCTGGGTTGCACAGCTCCAGGGTTCTCCATCCTGTCTCTTGGAGCAGTGACTTCATTACTATTTACGCTTTACAACACAAATTTGAAGTTAGTGTTTTTAAAAGTATGCTCATGGTTCTACTGCACTGGCATCACCAAGGTACTTGTTAAAGTGAAGATTCCCGAGCTGGACTCCAGACCTACTAAATCAGGGAGTAGGGACTAAAATCAACACATAGACACTTTAAATTAACACCTGAAGGGATAGTTATATGTACGACAAAATCTGAGAACCCATTTTTAGCAGACTTATTTTATACCTTTATATACTAAAAAATGTTCTAAGAAAATACTAAACACATACTAAACTTAAGGTGCATTTTATTTGAATAAGGACAGGATTACCTGTTCCAGAACCTGATTTTTTTTTATTTTAATTTTAATTTTTATTTACCTCCCTGTTTGTGATTCTTGATCACATGGATTAGTATTATGGCCAAGCAGGACTGGAAGATATGGGAGGGAGTGAGGCTGGTATAAAAGTGGGTAAATGAAATAAAACATGGACTTCTTTTTATGTCTGTAGAGTTTATATGAATATAATTGTGTAAGGGACTTTTTTTCTCAAAGTCATCAATGGTATTTGATATAGATATTTATATTATGTACTAAGAAATTTAAATTTTTAAAAAAATCCATTGTGTGTTTTTTGAGATCTAATTTTCATTTTTCCTATTTGGATAGCTATTTAAAGATGTGCCCAAGCACAGTATACTTCAGTTGTTTCTTGAGTCACACCTGAAATCCTAAGAAAGTGAGTTTCTGAGTGTCTGCAGTTTTGTCTTTAACAGAAGACAGTCAGCACCATCTAGTGGATACTAATGACCTTTTTTTTCTTGACTTCAGTCCAGTGAGGTGAAGAGAGCAGTCTTTGGAACTTAGGTTGGAATCCCACTGAGAGTTCCTGAATGGCCTCCAAAAAATTACTTAACCCCTCTGTGCTCTGCTTGTCAATTATAAGTCTGGATAATAATAGTGCCGCCATTTCACTTCATTTCATAGCATATTATGAAATGAAGTGAAATGATGTGTCTAAGGCATGTCCTAAACGCTCAATAAATGTTATTTTTTAATAACACTAGGCCATAGTCTTATAGGAGGTAGGAACTGTCCTGTGGCACACACTTTTAATTGCCCTTCAAAAGAAAAGGCTATTTAATCTAGTTTATATGATATGAGGCTTAATGATGTTCCTCTTCTAGTAGGCTGTTACATTTGGCTGAAGCTTATGGTGAGAAAGAGGAAACTGGGGCAACAAGACTGGAATGGTAGTTGGAGCCCAGATGGAATACAGTGTGGGCTCTTTCTCATTCAAAGTCTGACTCCACTCAGAGGGAGAATGTCAAGAGTAGAGAGATTGAAAACAAAAACAAAAAGCAATGCTGCCATATGTCCCCAATCTGGGATGAGATCAGGAAAATTTTAGCTTAAAACATCTTGACTCTAGAATAAATCTTTATGAATTATTTTGAAAGGCACAATACTTCCTAGAATATGTTTGAGGTTTTGAACGCAGAATTTCAGAAAACAGCATCAAAAATATGGTGCTGTCTGACAATCTGAATATGAATTGTTTTAAGGGTGTTACCTGCACTAGCTGACACAGAAGTAGTCCAGAAAATTAAAAACAAAGACACAATTTATTGTGTACTAAAATACAACAAATGCAATTTATTAAAGTTTGCCCTCCAGGTACATACAGCTTCCCAGCTGTGTACAAAAACAGAAGCAGCGGGAGGTAAATAAACAAAGTGAGAATGACAGAAACAATTCTAAATGAGGTGAGTTTTATGTAAAATGTTTGGAAAGGTTATAGACAGTGAAGAGACACTAAATTTCTATTGAACTTGAATTTTCTTTTTACTTGCTTTATATGTACCTTATGTTGCATATATTTAAAAAGCGGCAGTTAAAAACAATGAAAACACCAGTTAATCATGGGCGTTGGTCATAGCCTTGATTTTTTTTAGTTGTTTTTTTTCTCCTTCACATCCATAAGAAATCTGAAATATTCTGTATTCTTATTGAGCAACACTAGTTACCAAACATAAAAATGGAAACTGCCTTTATTCACGAAAAATGAGAATTGCGCGGGCACTTGGAGATTATCTGGTTACTAGCTACTAAAAGACTGATCAATGGACCAGAAGTATTGGCATCACCTGGGAGCCTGTTAGACTCCTGGGTCCCACCTACACTGAATCAGCATTTTTAGGAAGATCCTCAGGTGATTTAACTGCAATTAAAGTTTGAGAAGCCCTGGAGTTTCAGATTTATTTGCTCTCAGCTACAGCTCTGGGATCAGTAGTTTATAAAATTTCTCTAGGTAATTATAATGCAGTAAATAACGGCAAAACTAGTCCAACCTCAATTTTCAAATGAGGAAATTATGGCCCACAAAAGCTGACGAATTTACCCAAAGTCACTCAGTTATTTAGTATCAGAATTCAAACAATGTTATCTATCCTCTTTAAAAAAAAAAAAATCAAGCAGAGTCAGGGAACAGAGGATAGGAAGCGCGGAGATGGGGAGAGATTATTTTCTATAGGGTGGTCAGGAAAAGCCCGCTTGAGAAAGCGGATATTTGAGAGACTAGAGGAAATGAGCCACAGGCCACATGGATAGCTGGGGAACTGTATTCAAGCAGAAGAAGCAGGAGGTTGGGATATGTGGGGGTGGGGTGTGTGAGAGAGAGAGAGAGAGAAGAGTTGGGGGTTTATTTGTAGGGGAACAACAAGCAGTAGTGTTTCCAAATTCCCAACAGATACTAATTTATAGGAGGCAGAAACAAGAAAACTGCCAGGAGTTCTCAAAATCTTAAGTTCTTAAAATACTTCCAATCTTCATATTCTTTACTATTTGAAGCATTTGTTTCAAAAATAATTTAGAAGTGTTTACAAGAACTGTAGCCTATGGAAAATATTCAAAAACGAGAAAACACAGAGAACATTATTTGGTAACATTTGAATAATGTAATATACAAATCTCCAAACGAGGTTAACAACACTTTACAGAATCATGGTTTGGAAATTGCCAATTTAAAGTGTTATTTTGAATCAAAACTTGTTATTTCTTGGAACACCACTCATAGAATTTGTATAAAGTATACAATGATAGAATTGATAAATTGATTGTCGAGTGTGAGAGCAAGAACAACTAAGGATGACTTTAAGGATTTTGGTCTGAGCCTGGCAGGATGGAGTTACCATTTACTGAGATGGATTAGAGGGTGGTGATGCCGGAGGGGACTGTGGAGGGTTGTTTTCTGACATGTGAAATTTGAGATGCTTTTTACATCTAAGTTGAGATATCTGTAAGTGGAGATGTCAAATAGATAAGAGTGCGAGGTTCAGGGGAGAAGTCTGGACTGGATATAGAAATGCAGGATTTAGGAGCATACGGATGGTGTTTACGGACAGGTTTTTATACCCAGCACTGCCCTAGATTGTGGCTGTGTTTGAGTAACTCACTTAATCTTTATCTATTTGCTCTGCTGAAAAACACTTAAAGAACACTTCCTACCCACCTAAAACAATGAGGATAAAGGTGGCATCTATGTGAAAGTGTCTTGTAAACTGTAAAGCGCTATTTAGACTGGAAAAAAAGCAGATAGTTCATGGTGCTGGAGATGAAGAAAATCAGTTTGGGCACCCAACGAAATAGCCTTCATGTACTGAGACTTAGGGAAACCACAAATAGTATTTATTACCCTTTTTGGACTGGAGCTCAATTTGTGCACAACGAATATTTTTAATTTATATGGCATACAAAATTTACCAAGAATTTCACATGATCTTTTTGAGCTGCACAACAATCTTGTGAGGACGGAAATATCATTTCCATTTCAAGGAGGAGGACCTGCAGGGCACCATATTACTAATGAGGGGCACAGCCATACAAGCATTCAGATATCCTCGTTCCGAGTTCAACCTAAATATGAACAAACCATTCCCCACCCACGCCGTCCTCCCGGAACACGAAAGAGACAGCTGGTAGGTCCCAGCTCCGGGTGATCCACCAATTCCTCGCGACCCCTGGCCCCCACGTCGCAATTCTGGATGGTACAGCCCCTTTTTCCTATCGCGAGACTGGAAGGGCACGGCTTCTGGTTGCCAGGGGAACAGCGTTCTCAGAAGCCGGAGTGCTTTGGATCCGCAGCTCCCTCCACCTCCAGAGTAGCTGTGGTGGCGGGAAAAACCTCTCCCTTTTGGGGGGCAGTGGGTGACACGGCGAGTGTCAGCAGTGCGTTTCCGATCCGTCAATGCTCTGACGACTGGTGACTAGCTCCCAAGGTTTCCGCCGGTAAGCTGAGTAACCGCACAGAGTAGGGCAGAGCGCGATAGCCGCGCGACAAGCCAATGACAGGGCAGGGCGGAGTCGTGTCAAGCTGCAGGGCCCGGAGACTGGCTGTTAGAAAGAGGAGGCAGGGCCAATGAGAGGGCGGGAGCGGCACCCGGAGGCGGGCTCAGCGGGGGCTGGGCCAGGCCAGGCCCGGGAGCTCGTCTAACGTCCTAGAATTTATATTAAAAATCAATTACCAGCCATTTAAAATAGACCATAAATGGCAAAGGATGCAAATAGGCACTTCACAGAAAAAAAAAAAAAAAATGTGGCCTGTAAACATTCGACTAGAGGCTCAACTTCTGTCGTAATTAAAGAAATGTAAATCACACGCCAGACGCCTTTTCACACTTACCAGATTAAATATGAAAAAGCTTTGATGTTAACCAGGTTGACCGCAGTCCAGTGTGGGGAACCCGACACTTGCATCTCTCATCGTACGTTGTTGGTCGTAATGTAATTTGGTACGATCTTTTTGGGGACAGTTTGGCAGATTACCAGAATTTGAAATGCAAGTGTTCTTTGACCCAGCAATTCTAATTTAGCTCCTGGGTATGTAAACATAACTAAACAAAGATTTGCAAAAGCAGTTTACTTAAAATTGAAGTATACTTTACATATGTTAAAATTCACCCTTTTAATATGCAGTTCTATGAGCTTTGACAAATGCTTACCATTATACAATGACCACCACAATCAAGATGCAGAACAATTTCATCATTTCCTTAAAATCTCCTTGTACCCTTTTATAGTTAACCTCTCTCCACCCCCAGCCCTGGCAATCACAAATCAGTCTTCTGTTCCTGTAGTTTTGTCTATTCCAGAATATCATATAATTGGAAGCAAACACTATGGAGCCTTTTAAATCTGGCTACTTTCAATTTAGCATAATGTATCTGAGATTTATCTAGGTTTTGTATCAGTTGTTTGTTCCCTTATATTTCTGAGTAGTAGTCCATATGGATGAACCATAGTTTGCTTAGCCATTCCCCAGTTGAGGGACATTTGGATTGTTTCCAGTTTTTGGCAGTTATTAATGAAGCTACTATAATCATTCATATACAGGTTTTTGGGTGAATTTCAGTTTTCGTTTCTTGGGTAAATATCTAAGAATGAGATTGTGGAGTCATATGGGAAGTGTCTGTTTAACTTTATAAGAAACCACCAAGCAGTTTGTAACATGGCTGCTCCATTGTGCATTCTCACAGGCAATATGTGAAAGTTCTAGTTGTTCCACAACTTTGTCAGCACTTGATATTGTTAGTTTTTTTAAAAAAATTATTTTTCACCATTTGAATATGTAGTTGTATCTCATTGTGGTTTTAATTCACATTGGTGACTAATGATGTTGAACGTCTTGTACTGGTTTGCTATCCGCACGTCTTTGGTGATATGTCTGTTTAAATCTTTTGTTTTCTTATTATTGAGTCTTCATACTCTTTATGTATTCTGGATACAAGTCCTTTGTCAAGTATGTGTTTTACAAATATTTTCTTCTAATATTTAGGCCTTGTTTTCCTTAACAATGTCTTTCAAAGAATGGAAGTTTTAAATTTTGATGCATTTCAATTTATCATTTCATTTTATGAATCATGCTTCTGCTGTATCTAAAAATTCTTTGCCTAGCCCACAATCACACATATTTTATAGAAATATTATAGTTTTAAGTTTTATTTTTAGATCTGTGATTTATTTTGAGTAAACTTTTATATTGCTTTTAATAGCAAGTACTCCATATTCAACCTAAATGGGCCGATTTTAAAAAGCTACATTTTGCAGTGGAAAACTATACCATTGTTTGAAAGCATGAAGTTTATCTGCAAAATATATTAAGTGTGAAAAAGCAAGTTGCAAAGCACCATGGCATTTGTTTGTATTTGTATTGGGGAGGAGTAGGTAGGTATAAAAGATAGAAAGTTTGCATATGCCTAAAAAAAATAAGACCCACAAAAATCTATTAACAATCTATTAATTTTGGTTTTAAAACCTTTTATATGCTGTGTAATTTGATTTTTTCCTCTTTCTTGGACAAGTATTCCTTACATAATAAACACATATGTAAAGTGAAAAATCTACTATAAAATAACTTTTAGATGTTAAAGTCATGAAAATAAATGTAATGCCACTTTTTTCTTTAGGTCGGGTAATCATCATTACTAAACCAAGGAGGATTCATCTTCTTTAGTTCTTCCATTCATCCCCAAATATGAAATTACAGCAGCTATGTGTCCCCATTTTGATTTTAAATCATCCATGATGGTTGCATTTTTCACAAGCTTGTATGAAAAAGTTTGATTTTGTTTGAAATGAATGTTATAAAAAGTTGGTACGTATTAGCAGTTATTTGTTACACTTTAGAATCTGGTCATATTTCTTTCTATTTAATGGAATATCATGAAGTAAATAATATTCTATTTTTGAAGTATCTTTAGTGTAATAAAATGCTCATCATGTAATGTTAAGTGAGAAATATTTGGGTCCAATTTGTTGAAGAGACATAGAGCAAAAATGGAAAAGAAATGTGCCAACGATGTTTAGCTGAGAGTGGTGAATATTGAGTGATTTTTATTTATTTTTGAATACACTTTAATGTATTCTAGAAAATTTTCCATAATAAATAAATTCATTAGTTTTGAATTCAAGATATACTTAATAGAAAACTAGAACTACAGATAAGCGAAAAGTAAAAAATGATGCAAGAACATGCATGAATGCGGCAATCCAGAACCCACCTCTGTTACTTCTTTGATTTGTGATCATCTTTCAGCCTTCTTTATGTATATTTCTTTAATTAGAGAAATTAGACCTGTTTTTTCTTTAGAAGATACTGACAATTTATCTTTCTTTCTTTTCTTCTTTCTTCCCTGCCTGCTTCCCTCTGTCTCTCCTTTCCTTCCTTTTTTCCTTTTTTGGTATGTGAATCCCTTGTTTATGCCCTTAGCTAGTTTTTTTAATTGGAATATTTCTTTTTCTTACTGATTGGTAAGAGCTCTTTAAATATGTAAATTTGTTAACCTTTTGTGAATCATCTATGTTGCATATATTTTTCTGTTCTCAGGTGTATTTTAATTTGTAGTTTTTTTTTTTTTTTTTGGTTTGACACTCGAGCATTAAATGTTATATAATCAAATATATTTGTCACTTCCTTTTTGATTATGCTCTTGGTGTCATGCTTAGTAAATAACTAATCTCATTATTATGTAAATTATATTTATGTTCCCTTCCAATCCTCTGGAGAATTCATATTTTACATTTATTTATTATTCTTAAAATTAGATTTTATCTTTGTTAAAGTAATTAGTCAAAAATGGCAAACTGTGCTATAACATTTACAATGGAGAAAAAAAAGAAGCAATCCCTAGACTTATTTTCTAGGGGCAACCATCTGAACTTGTAAGTGTTATGCTTATTTAACTATTGTTTGGGCTTATCAATTTTTGGAGATTCTCTTTGATTTTATATTATGACATAAAATTTCTCCTCCCCACTTACACTCTGTATCATAATTGTAAGTATTTTATTATCATTTGATTGCTTTTTGGTACAATGCTTTATTTTTCTTGTAGAATTTCTATGTGGCTATTGACATTCCTTCTCAAACATTTAAATACATCTATGAGATCCTGATTTTAATGCCCTTTATCCATGCTTTTTTCTATATGGCCAAATTCATAAGATTGTCGGTTATATCCCCACTCACCCTGGGAAATATATTTTATTTAATTTATTATTTTCAGGAACAAACATAGCAGCACAGATATATTTCTAAAACAAAATGAAAAATCCCTGGAAACTTTTACCTGATCCATGTCACTGATGGGCTCCCTGGGCCTCTCCCTTTACTGACATGTATTCTACTGGCTCTGGACATGCTTCCATCTCAGTACTCCCTCTGTAAGCTGCAGTAAGTCTCCTCTGACAAGCTGCTTAGGGCATTTACAAGATATTTGGCCTTTTGGTGACTTGTGCTTTTTGATTGTGATGTGTTGGGCCAGGGCGATCAGTCATCCCACAGTAATAATGTCAGTGCCTTCCTGAGTGAGCCTAAACCCTTTTGCAGAGTTTAAATAGTGTTGAGATCAATGCCTTTTTCATTGCTGAGATGGAAAAAGTTGACCTAGTGGTCCCTTAAGCATCAGCTTTGGCACAAAGACTGGTTGGGGCCAAATTATATTATCCCTCTGTGTGCCTTGGAGGAGCATCCGGTTGTTTATATTTGTGCTTCTGCCTGTGTCCAAAACATCCCTAGACTCTCCCTATGCTATTCAAACAAAAAGAAAGAAAGATGAGTGAGTCATTTTGTAGGGTAAGAAAAGGATGTTGTTATACTTGCTGAGCTGGAGGCAATTGCCTTTCTTTATTCTGTTATGAGAGAAGTAGTTTAATTCATAGTTGATAGGAATTTAGGAAAGGATTTGGTGGATGATATCCATTCACATATGAAGCTAAGTATTGAGAAGGCAAAATCTGGAATTCTCCCTATTCCATTTTCCTCAGCATGCATGATACCCCCACGTTACTGAACAAATCTGGAATGGTCCTGATCAAGGGAACAGTTTAGAAGGAGCAATGTGTCTTCAATGCCCAAGTTCTTCCACTAGTTTAAACCACCCTGCATAATATTTCCTGCTTCAGAAAGCAGCACTGGGAATAGAGGAGCCAGAGTGGCAAAAGGCCTGTGGACAGTGTCACATGAAAAAGAATTGAAATGATTGGTGATGTGTATGCAGATAATGAACGTCTTTCCCTTAGTAGAGAAAGTAGTTTTTGTTCTCAGTTGTTTCAGAGGGCAGAAATAGAATGGCAGGTTTTAGAAGGGGAGGATTGACAGAAAAAGAGCAGTGACCTGGAGATAGTTGCTCCTTGAAAATGTGGCACCAGGGAGGAGTGGAAAAACTAGGCTGAAGGTTGAGCTAGAATGAGGAATGCTGGAATAAGGCAGGCAATATTGTAACAAGGTAAAGGCATTAGCCAATCACTATGACAAAGCAAGAATCCTGGTTGAGAGGTGCAATGCTCCAAGACTGTCTTCTCAGTCAAAGGACGCATTACAAGTTTCTCTTGGAGGTATAGGAAGCCATCCAGATGGCATTCACTCTTTTTTAGCCACTTTCAGAACTAACACCCTAGGCAGCATGTTTTCCACCTAAATAATGATTTAATAAGATTTAATGATCCACAAACAGATGTCTTTTGATGAAATTAAGGTAGTGTGACTTTGGTAGCAACCTAGTCCTTATGACAAAGGCTCTGAATTAATTGCATATTAGCACTAATGAAACATTTAAATACACAAGTCATAACTTGCTTTAAAATTTTTTGCTTGCTTGTTTCAGGGTATCAATGGATATTATAAAGGGAAACTTGGATGGAATTTCAAAACCAGCCTCAAGTTCAAAAACACGTCCTGGGAGCAGAGGTTCAAATGCTTCTTTGGAGGTGCTCTCACCAGAGCCATCATCGTTCAAGGTACTTTGCTGTTTAGAAATGATTTAAACTCCTCGCGACCTTTAGCAATTGATAAACTAAAGTTGTTTTTGATATTCCATTTTAAGGTTCTTTTCTAGAGGGTGCGTTCAGGGAGCACTCACAGAGTTCTTGGATTTTACTTTAGAACGTTTAATATGAACTACTTTTTCCTTCTTTACCTCCTTTCCCTCTTTCTTTTTTTCCCCCTTACTTTGGAGTGGGGCTTATTTGTTCATAGTTGTGTTTTGTTAATACTCATTTGTTAACTATTTTTTTCCCTAAGAAAGCTTTGTATTGCAACATCTGCTATGCCACCATCGACTCTCTAAAAACATTCAGTAATTTAAAAAAATATAGTTTGGGTAAAGAGCACATAGTATATGTTTTGCAGGTACATTATCTGGCCATGACTTCCTTTTCTTTAGTAATCTTTTTCTTTTCTTAAATATCTAAACTTGATCTTTTTTAAAGAATCGATTTTTTTTTGTCTATGATATGGAGCAATTTATTTGTTTTAGAATTATGACAAAAATTTGAACCTCATGATGGAAAAAAACTGCAAGTTTATAAATCCGTTCTCATTTATTTTTTTGATTTATGTACTAGACTCTGCATTGTGAAACTTTTAGAGTTTTTATCTGTTAGGAAATAAAAAGCACTCTAGGCATATTCAGCAGAAAGGGATTGAATATGAGAAATCCACTTCTTCAAAATCAGTGGAAAGCCAGCAGGAGAGGAAATCACGAGAGGATTTCCCTTGGATTATTGGTTCCCAGGTCATGCTGCCATAGATGAAATTCAGAGATAAGAAAGCTGTTGGTGTTGCTGCTTCTGACACTGCCACTAGTCCCTCAGAACCACAAAACTGGTGACTAGATATGCAGAGGTGACAGTTTTGAATATATATATTGCCAGCTTCCTATCAGGAACGCAGGAAGATGGCTTCTGCCTCGCTTCTTGTTAAATCTTGTGCAGCTGCATCTAACTGGATGATCCTAACATGCATCCAGAACCCTAGCTGCAGGTGACTTTGTAAAATATAGATTCTAGCTTAACTCTCTGTTTTGTTTCATCTAACCCTGCATTATTACTGTACCATGTGTTAACTCTTGTAGCTTTGTTATAATTCTTGATGTCTGATAGGACACCTTATTCTTTTCTAGGACTTAGCTATTCTTGGCTTTCTATTTTAGATCACTTTTTCAAGTCTTGTGATAAATACTGTTGGGGTTTTGACTGAAATTGCTTTGAATTTATAGCTTAATTTGGAAAGAATTTCTAACTTTATGATATTAAATCTTTCCATCTATTACCATTGTATGTTGTTGACTTTTTTGTTTCTAATTTAATGATTTTACATACTGCAAAATTCACTGTTTTTTTGGTGTATAGTTCCGAGTTTGGCAAAGGTGAAGAGTGATACCATCATCAGATATAGAACAGTTCCATCATCCCTCAAAAATTGCCTCCTTCTACTCCTTTGTAAAAAATCTCCCTTACTCTTAATCCCTGGAAACTCTTGATATGTTTTCTATCCCTATAGATGTTCTGTTTTCCAGAGGGTCATTTAAATGGAATTGAAAAGTATATAGATTTTGAACCTGGCTTTTGTCTATTGGTACAATGTATTTGAGACTCATCCATGTTGTTGCATGTATCAATATTTCACTCCTTTTTATTGCTGAATAGTATTCCATTGTATGGGTGTACCGCAGTTTGTTTTCATTCTCCAGCTGAGGAACATTTGGGTTGTTTGCAAGTTTTGGTGATTATGAATAAAACCTCTATAAATATTTGCATACTGTATGTTTTTTGGGGGGGTTGTGTAAAATAGGTTTTTATTTCTCTTAGGTAAATACCTAGAGTGGGATTGGTGGGTTGTATGGTAAGTGTGTGTGTGTGTGTGTGTGTGTGTGTGTGTGTGTGTGTGTGTCAACATGATAGATTTTTTCTACAATGTGTATGGCAGACTACCTCCCCTTTAATTCCCCCCACCACTTCCACCCCTTACCTACGAATGTTGCCGTCTCCCCTTAAGAACTGGATCTCTGGGAGAACGTGTCTCCTCCCACGTGCTCGCGGCGTGCACCTACGGCCAGGCGCACCCAGGTCCATGGCTTCACCTGGGGCATGAACCCAGGACCTTCTGTGTGTAAAGCAGATGTGCCTACTACTACATTATGGAGCTACCCCCAGAGTATATGCTTATCTATAAGAAACTGTCAAGTTGTTTTCTGTTCTCACCAGAATTATATGAGAGTTCCAGCTGCTTTGCATCCTCACCAGCAATTGATGTTGTCGATGTTTTTAAAAAGCCATTCTAATAGGTATATAACAGTAGCTCACTGCGGTTTTAACTTGCATTTCTTTGGTGACTAATAATATTGAATATGTTTTCATGTGCTTATATACTTTTTTGGAAAGTTTATGTTAAAATATTTTGTCTAACTTTTTTTGGAGTTTGTTTTCTTATTGTTGACTTTTAAGAGTTCTTTACATATTTTAGATAGAGTCTTTTGTCAGATATATGATTTGCAAATATTTTTTTCCCAGTCTATAGTTTGACTTTTCATTCTTTTAACTGTGTCTTTGGAAGAATGTTTTTTACTTTTGTTAAGTGCAATTTATCAATTTTTTTTCTTTTGAAGATTGTGTTTTTTTGTTGAATCTAAGAACTCTGTTAACCCAAGGTCTCAAAGATTTTTTTCCTGTTTTTTTTTTTTTTTTTCTGAAAGTTTTATAATTTCATGTTTTATATTTGGGTGCTTGTGGCCTCTCTTGTTACCAGTGAGAAAGCTTTTATATATTCCAATATTCATTCCAGTGTGGGTTGTTTAGTTTAGATACTTTTTTCCCGACTACTTTAATGGTTTTCTCTTTGTATCTACTATTACACACCTAGTATGGATTTATTTAATTTGTCTTTCTGGAGACTAGTACTTCTTCAATGTAAAAATCTGTGTGTTTCATTTATTTTGAAAAATTCTCAGCCATTGTGTTTTCACATTTCAAGTGTTACCTACATTTTTTTCTATTTCATCATCTTGGAAGTCATATTCAATGTCCATTGAACCTTTCTCTTCTATCCTTCATGTCTCTTATCTTCTTTTTAATATTTTCTATGCATTTATTTCTCTGTGTTTCATGCTGGGGAATTTTTGACATATATTTTCTATTTTTTGAATTATTTCTTTTACTATGTCAAATCTGCTCTTTAATCCATCTATCGAATTTTTAAATTTAGTAATATATTTTTAATTTCTGGAAGCTATTTTTAGTTTATTTTTAATCCAGCTGTTCTTTACAGTATCTTAATCTCATAGGTATTTTTTTTTGATTTTTTAAAACACCAATTAAAATATTTCTATGATTATCTTTGTCAGCATTTTAACATCTCAAGTTCTTTGGTTTATTGTGATCCTTGCTTATTGTGGGTCCTATGTTCATGGCTTTTGAACTTTTGGAATGTAAGTTTTAATTTTGGGAATTTTATGGAGCCTAATTTGAAACTATGTCTACCAGAGCGAGTTTCTGTTTACTTCTGCCAGATGCCTCAGAGATATCACTGGCATGAATCAATCTCTTTCTCTCTCTCTCTCTCTCTGTCTCTCTCTCTCTCTCTCTCTCTCTCTTGCTAATTTTTCAGCTTTAAGCACCCCAGAACTCATGAATAATATAAATTGGAGCCTAAACCCACATGAAGCATGAATCTGTGGTTGCAAATTCTCAGGAAAGGTTTTTCCCACTTGTAACCTGGACATGTCCTTTATTCTTACCCTGTGCTTTTGGCTAGATGTGTTTTCCTAGTCTATGCTCTCACTGTGGATGCACCTCTTTGAGGGATCTAGCTTTATGGAGCAGGAGAGGTAAGGTTCCTTTCCATCTCCTTATCTTGCATGAGTCCAAGGCCTACTCTCCTACCCCTGCATGTAGCAAAAAGCCTGTAGCTTTCTGATGCCCACACATCCTCCTTAGCATCTCTTTGTTGCTTCTACCCCCATCCTTAAATAGAGCAGTTGCTGTAAGGATTTTACAAGCCTCCTGTTCTAGTTTGTCATTTCCCTTTAATTTCTGTCCACTGGCAATTTCCCTAACATTCTTGTGTGTTTCTAAGTAGATGGTAGTTTTTAGTTTATTCAGTTTTCCATAGCACTCAAACTGGAATATAAAAACAATTTCAGATTCTTTAGTCCCAAGCATAGGGATTATATAAACCTAAACTCTGGAGTCATTGGTTCAGAATTAGGGCTCTGCTGACCACATTTTATGTGATCTTGAGCAAATTATTTTGACTCTCTGTGCCAGCTTCCTCATCTGTCCAAAGAATTAATAATACTATCCATCTCATATGCATGTTTTTAGGATAAAATGAGACAAAATTTTTAAAGTTCTTAGAACAGTGACTGGCATCTAGTAAGTATTTAGCACATCTTAGCTATTGGTCTCAATTCTTTAGCTCAATTGGTCAGTCCTTCCTATATTATTCACAGCATTCAGCATAAAGTCTGGCACACAGTAAGTATTCACAAAATATGTGTTCAATAAATTTAGAATAAAGATTTTCCTACTTTATAGAGGTAGGATAATATGCAAAGACCTGACAAAATTTAGATATAGAATTAATATTTTAGTATTTCTGCATATATATTCCTGAGTGATGACTTTTTTAAAGCAGCAATTTCACAATATTGGCACACAGGTTTCAATGCATAGATTAATATTACTTTGTTCAAGGTTTATTTATTAAAAAGAAAAATATCAGCAATCACTTCAGGTGAGATTTTATTTGAACCCACTAAACTATAGGTCAAACTCTAGCATATTTATTAGTCAATAGGGACTTTGATATTTATATCAAAAGCAAAGCCTCTTAAAAATCGTGACTTATATTAATCAAATTCATGGAAAATAAGTAAGTTTTGTCTTAGGCTGGGGAAAAAAGCCACAGATGTACTTCATGCTTACTGCTGATTGCAAATGATTCAATGTCTATAAAGCTTTATATATTGTCTGAATAATAAATCCTGGAATTTTGATTAGTTTTAATGATCAAATTTAGTTTTTATTAATTTCTTACCTTAATTTTCTGTATGGCAGAAAAGGAGTTTAAAATGCTAGATTTTTAAATTAAATTCTTGTAGTAATAATAGATTTCTCATTCAAAATATTTTGGTTTATTGTTGCTTTTGAATATTTTTATTGAAAGAGCCAATAGTTGTAATTTTTGTAAAAAAATCCCACAGCTTTCAGGTAGAAATCTAATTGTTAGGAAGGTTTTTATAGAGTATTTACCTTTCCTGGGACTAACATGAAGGTATGGAGTAGGGGACCTGGAGCAATGCAAAATGGAGGTAGAATGTAGCCTTGAGAATGAAGAAGAAAGAAAAATCATACACATAAGCCACAAGTAGAAGAGAAGGAAGGTTAGGAAGAGAGAGGCCAATGGGCAATGGGCTGGGGAAGATGGGTGGGGAACTATGGGTAAAATTGTGATATGGGCAAAGTTTGCCTTTTGTTCTCCAGTTTCATCTTTTTGCCTTATTACTTCCTGCTCATTCTAAGATTTAAGATCATATAGAATGATATATATGAAAGGTCTTTGTATATCCTGAAATGTGCTATCCAAGTATATTGCTAATATCTAGTTATCTTCTAGTTATATTCTTCTATATAAAAATCCATTCTCGGGGAAACATAAGCTAAATTCATTTACGTCATGATATTAATGACTGACAGGGGTTATGTAACCTCTCCTGGCAATTTCAGTGTTTTCACAGAACGATATAGCCTTAAGGATTTACTGCATAGTGTGGAATTTCAGGCTTTACCCAGCCTTTGACAGTTTTTTTTTGAACAGGGAACACTCTTTAACACCTCTGAGATTACATCAAGGAGGCATTGTTTTGTTTGTTTATAAATTGGTCCTCTACTGGTTTCATTCTATCCTGGATCTGTTTTCTTCTTTGTTAAATCAGGGTAGCAGTGCCTTTACCATAGAGTCATTGTGTGGAGTGAACAAGGCAGTGTGTGTAAAGTACTCAGTACAAGATGTGGCCAATAGTAATTCTTCAATGAATGGTGGTTATGATTATTATACCACTGACTCACCTCAGTTCCACTAGGGCCTTTTTTCTAGTTCAGGCAAACAGAGATGCTCCTGCAGTCCTGTATCCCTGGCAGTTTAATTCTCAGCACCACCAACCTTCTGCCTTTGAGGTTAACAAGGGGGCACAGATTACAGTGGGGGAGAGTTGATCATGTAGGTGCAGAGAGGACATAAATCACTCCAAGGCCTGAGCCCTGAAGATGTGCAGCAGACAATCCTTCCACTGGGAGAGGAAATGTACTCCTCTCAGAAGTGACTGGCTCTCTCTCCCTGAGGTTTTGGTTTGTTCATTTGTGCTGTGACTCTCACTGCCACGTTCAGCCCTCAGGGCCTTATGATCCCTGTTTTTTCCTGACGCAGCCATGGATGTCTTGTTCTCAGGAAAACACAGCTGTACCAAATTGGTGTTTTCAAAATGCACTTTGCTAGAAGAGAAACCAAAATGAAATAGGAAAACTGTGAATAGGATAAAATAAACTAATCACCAAAGCTTGACTTGAAGCATTTCATTAGGAGCACATCTCACTTCAGATTATTCACTTTTCAACTGTTCAGTAGCCACATGTGGCTAGTGGCCATTGTATTATATTGGACAGCACAGCTCTAGACCTTTGACTCTCCATCTGAGTAGAAGCTCAGGGAGCAGAGACCATCATGTCTCGTCCCCAGAGCCTGGCAAAGAGCAGTTCTCTTTGAGACTGATTTCTGACTCTTCTTCAGTGCATATTTCTTTGGTGCAAACTGTTATGAAATTTAATTGTGTAGTTAAATTACATTTAATTAAAAAGTGTTATATTTTTAGATTACTTTAATGCTAGTGCATGTATGTCCCCACATATACTTCCATTAAAATAGTCTAGAAATTTAAAGTTAAAAAACACATTATTTTTGAAAAATGTTTCTTTGGAAATAATTTTTAGGTTGATACTGCAGTCAAGTTGAACTCTGATAAAGAAGACTACTCAGAGAGCAGTAATACAGAGGAAAGTAGAAACAGTAATGTTAATAAAGAGGAAAACTACTCCGAGAAAATAAAATTGGCTGAAGAGGAGTCAGATGAAGATCTGAGTCTGGTTCAACATCAGATAATCTCTAAATGTTCAGGTAGGTGATTGGCTAATGATAATTACAGATGTTATAGTTAAAATATTAGAATTAGGCATGTTTTTAAATTAGCGAAGTAGAACTAATAAAAAAAAGAGACATACTTTTTGTGAGCAAGCAATCACAAATTGTTATTTAGAAGAATATTAAGAGTCCTTAAAAACACTTAAATAATAAGATATGTCATTTAATAAAATTGTTATTTTGGTCATTTTACATTAATCAAATAGGAAGTATTTCTGCATTTTATGATGTGATTTATTGATATTTTTGATGACTAAAATTGTATAATAAAATGTATCCTATAATTTTTCAATGCCTTTTTAGGGATAATCTCATTTGATCTTAATAACTTTTGGATTTTAAAAGACTACTTTTTTCATGGTTATTAAATTAATATTGGTCAGAGTGAATTAGACCAGCAGTTCTCAAAATGTGGTCTGCAGAGCTCTAGGGTATCTCTGAGACACTTTCAGGAGCTCTAGAAAGTAAAAACTACTTTCGTCATAATACTGACATAGTATATTAGTAATATAGTTCATCATAATGCTGAAATTATGCTATTTGCCTTTTTGCCTACTGAATGGACATTTGCACTGATGGTACAAAAGCAATGGTGGGTGAAATTGCTATGCTTTAGCATGAATCAAGACAGTGGTACCAAATTGTACTATTAGTATTCTTTATGACTAGGCACTGGCAGAAAAAAAATGTCCAGTGTCATGCAAGAATCTTTTTGGTCAAAAAAAAAAAAAAGCAGTAAAAATTATTAATTTTATTAAATCTTGACCTTTGAATACATATCTTTTTAGTATTACATCTGGTAAAATAAGAAGTACATATAAAGCAATTCTTCTGTATACTAAAATGTGAAGGTTGTGTTGAGGAAGAGTACTTGCATGATAGTTTAGTGGCCACTTTTTATATGTAACACCATTTTTACTTGAAAGAATGACTGACAAAAACTATTATCATTCAGACTTGGGTATTTGACAGACTTTTTTTTTTTTTTTTTTTTTTAAATGAAATGAGCCTGTTACCACAAGGGAAGACAACTGACATTATTTTTTGTCAATGATAAAATTTGAACTTTCAAATGAAAGTTGGAATTTTGAAAAACTTGTATATGTCACTGTGAGCTTGACAGCTTCTTGATACTTAGACTTTTCTGATAAAAATTGGTGGCCATCTTAACAAATGTAATTTTTTGATAGTGTATACTGAAATATTAACATTAACATTTTGAATTTCTGCATAATCCATTATTTTCCAAATGACCAATACATGGTAGAAGATCAATTTAACATGAAATATAGCTCCATGGATTTTAATGGAACAAATACAAAAAGCTCACTGGTATGTTTACAGATTTCATGTTCCAGCTAACCTTTTAGAGACTACCCCTTGTCGAATTTTGATGTAGCATCAAAGCAGAATATCCATAATTATCTGAAAATGCTATTAAATTTCTCCTACCCTTTCTAATTACATGTCTCTGTGAGGCCAGATTTTCTTCATAACTTTAATGATGGAATGCAATAGATTGACTGACTTTAGATACAGATATGAGAATCCACCTGTCTTTTATTGAGCCAGATATTAAAAAATTAAAGCAATGTCATTTTTCTCAATAATTTTTTTTTGGAAAATATAGTTATTCATCACAAAAATGTTATATTTGTGTTAACATATAATTCATATGTTTATTCTAAAATGAATAAATAATATTTTTCAGTCTTGATTTCTAATATTAATAGATATAACTCATAAACAAAAGCTACTTTGGGTTCTGAATAATTTTTAAGATTGTAAAGGGAAGCTGAGATCTTAAACTGTGAAAACTGAAAGCTGTTGGTTTAGAATGTTTGGGATGAAGTCAGCTCTCACTGTTAGGCCAGGCGACTCAGGATTACAGTTATCAGAAAACAAGATGTTATAGTTGAGATTAGCTATTGGCCCAATTTACATTGTATTGGTTAATATTGTTTCAGTACTGCATGAGTTACTTCAAAATGCCTGCAATGTAGACCACCAATGTACATGGAGCCTGAGAACGCTAGGATCGATGGTTGGGAATTAGGACTAGAGGCTGCTTCATTTGAACTATGCAAGCAACAGGATTTGTAGAACCCCTTTATTAATAAGACTGGTATTTTTTTTGGATAAGCATATTCTCTTTAAAAATATTTCCTTTTCCTTAAGAATGATATACATTATAGGAAAACATCACAGGACTCTGGAATTGCAAAGGTAAAATTTGGCCTTTCTTAACATAATATGTCATTTCTAATGATCTAAACTGGGGTAGGCGACACTTTAGTATTGAGCATTTATGCTCATTGCTAGATTATCATCTTTATCAGACTTCACAGAGGAAGTATTGCCTAGTGGTGAAGAGCTTTGCCTCTTGAGTCAGGCAGGTCTGGGTGGAAGCTGACTCTGACATTTACTAGTTACATTGTCTTGGAGACGTATGTAACAGTTACAAATTAGCCTCAGTTTACTAATTTGTAAGGTGGGGACAAAATTATACCACCTTGCAGAGTTATGATGAAGGTTAAATGAGATAATGCTTGTAAATAAAGCACTTAACACTGTACCTATCAGATAACTCTATACATGTTAGCTGCTATTATTAACATTATCATTAATCATAATCATAAGCTTGAAAGATTGAAGCTCTAAAGAGTCCCTAATTCCAAACAAGTTACTATCAATTATCTACAACTAAAGACCATTTTCACTTACTTCAAGAAAATAGAACAAATGGGAGGGGCATAGGTAAAAATGTCTAGTTACATGGAGTACTTTTCTGAATCTGTTTCTATATGTTGCAACTACTTTATGTCACTTATAACATGCTACATTTTGCTGCAGCTATTTGTGTACATGCCTTCTCTTTCCATTAGTCTGAAACAGAGTTAAGATAGGGTATTGTCTTATTTCTTATTTTTAAATTATGAATATGAAAGACATAACAGGATGAACAGTTTGGGATTTAAAATCATGTAAGACCCACTTCTGAGTTCAATGCTTTAATTTATTAGCTATTTGAAAGGACCTAGTTACATCAACTGTAAAATAGAGATACATGTCTATTTCAGAGGATTGTTAGATAACTATATGAAAAAATACATGTAAATCAAGATACATGATACCAATCTTAGTTATTATGTCAGCTATAAACATTTGTTGAATGAAAGAAGAAAAAGTAAAAATAAAACACAACGAAGCTTTACAGTTTACTAAACTTCAAGCTCATTCCTACTTTCAACACAATATAGATGAACCCGAGTTAAAAGAATTAGATTCTCAACTTCAAGATGCTATTCAGAGGATGAAGAGGCTTGATAGAATATTGGTGAGGAGACAATATAGAGAAAAAGAAATTAAGAAGCAAGGTCTAGAAATGAGAATAAAGCTGTGGGAAGAACTGAAGGTAAGAATTATCTAATTATATCTTCATATCTATGATGAGTAAGAAAAATATGGACTGTGGTAGTGTCAGTGTGGTTTGTCTTTATTGATTATTTTGTGGAGGTAGGGAACTTTGCAGCATTCCAGATTTCAGGCACTGCACTGGCACTAGCATGTTCATTCCCCTTGGACAGCCCAGTAGGCCTCTCTTACCAGCATCAGGGTGGGCCTTTTCTATCTCTGGAATAGAAAGGTGAGGCACCTACTTTAATCAAGTATGTATGTCTGCTTTTTCTTCAGCTAGCTTACAGGTTGGAGATAAATACACAAAAACACAAAAATCTAACCCCCTGTTTCTCATTATTATTTAAAAATTTGTGATTAACAAATTGAGGAGTTCACTTTTTCATATGCTGGTCAAGATCTCTTCAGGGAGCTGTAAAGTACTTGAGGTCTGGGACCTTGCGCTGTTTGTTTCTGTCTCAATTTCTAGTGCTAGATTAACTTTCCTTGGCTTTCTTGAACATCTTGTTCTCTGTAGTATTGAGGGGTAGAATCGACCAGATGTTGGCACTGACTTGATGTATAGCCATTGGCTCACATTTGAACTTTGCCCCTCAAAGGAGAATGCTTTCAAGGTAAGGAATATTGTAATAACAGATTGGTTGTTTTTGATAAATTCCTCCTTGACCAGTTGACTGACTTTAGAGGAAATTTCCTAGACAATGATATGAATTAAAAGTGAAGTAATTAAGAATACATTTATACAAATTTCCCAGAACGACCACTGAGATGGAAAGAAAGCAACATACAGAATGCAGTGCTTTAAACTAGAGAAACAAGAATTAAAACTAGAAATATAATAAAAATACAGTAGCAATCTTGAAATGTCTGAAATTGTGATTTGATGCTATACCTTTAGGTTACTCATTAGTTATAGAAGTATTAAACAGAAACTTAAGAAAGTTTAAGTAAGGTATTTATCATATAATGATAGGAATATGTACTTTAATTCTTTCTGGGAATACTTGTTGACAGAATTTTATGGGAATAGGAGACAGATTTTCTAATTAAAGGAATAAAAATGACCTGAACTTTCTTTTTGTATGTAAATTAAAAGCCATATTGGAATTTAACAAAATATTAATGAGTATAGTTGCTTTTTTTCTCATGTTTAAACTTTCATTTCTCTTTCATTAGTCTGCAAAAAATAGTGAAGCTTTGCCAAGTAATGAGGAGATGGAAAATACAAAAAAGTTTCTTGCTTGGACTGCTGTATCAGAAGAAACTGTCGGTGAGTAAAATCGATTCATCTTTATTTTTATCCCAGAGTTCTAGAATATTTGGATTAAGGTAAAATTTTCAATTCAATAATTTCTTTCTTTTTTGTTATAAGTTTAACTCTTCTTTAAGGGAAATGATCACATTAGGTGGGATCACATAGAACTCCCCTGAGCTTAGGTATGTTTCAGTCTTCAGGCTTTATATCTGCTCAAGCATGGGGGGACAAGGCAGTGAAAAATCAGGAAATAGACAAAGTATTGTCTTCACTTCCTGTGTGTCCTAGGATCCTCTGGATACCTAGTTTTTGCAGATAGTTCCCTAATGGCCTAACATTCTCCCATGAGGTGTCTCACTCAGGCCTCCATAACCCCCTTCATAAAAATCCATTACTGATTTGTCCTATTTTCTGTTCTCTCACAGTCGTGCTTTTTTGAGACCAGCCGATTAATTTTGTACATGTTTCTACTCCCCACCTTGTGTGTATGTATATTTGTGATTCTGCCCCCTCCCCTAACTCTTCTTCCTTTTTCTTCTTTTTTTTTCTTCTTATGTAGAACTATTATAGAGTCATGTAACCTATTTTAGCCTACTTTATTTATATAGTGGCGAAAATTTTAGGGATTGAGAAGCAGTTGGTATTTTTTTGGTAGGACACTTTTGAAGTCTTTTCCAGGGATCCCAAACTCCCAGGCCGGGCCACAGACTGGTATTGGTCCGTGGCCTGTTAGGAACTGGGCTGCACAGCAGGAGGCGAGTGGTGGGGGAGTGAGGAAAGTTTCATCTGTATTTGCAGTCACTCCCCAGTGCTAGTCACTGCCTCAGCTCTACCTCAGATCATCAGGCATTTGATTCTCATAGGATCACTGGTCCCTGGTGCCAAAAAGATTGAGGACCACTGCTGAGTTTGACCTACATAATATAAGCGGTCATCTAGTACTGTATGGGCATTAGACTGGCTCTAAGCAGGGGCCTCTGATTTCTCTGAAAATTCTGGAATTCCTTTGTCTTTTACGAAGTGGATGTCTAGCATTTTAGAATTCCAACATTCTGATCCAGGCTACTGCAACTCTTTAGTATGAGCTTTGATGTGGATGAAATTTCTTCTGGATCCAGCCTTGAGAGCCCAGAAGCTGCTTGGGCATGTCTTCATAGAGAAAAGAGAATGATGCTGGCCCATTCCCACAGATAGTTCAGTAGTGTCCCTCTGAAATTCACATTACGTGGAACCTCAGAATATGACCTTATTTAAAAATAGGGTCTCTGCATATGTAATTAGTTAAGAGGAGATCGCACTGAATAAGAGTGGGCCCTAAATCCAATACTGGTGTCCTTATGAGAAGAAGAGAAGACTCATATTGCATTTAGTTGTCCTGTCTCTTTAGTCTCTGGTCTGGGATAGTTCTTCAGTCTTTCCTTGTCTTTCATGATCTTGACTTGTTTGGAGAGTACTGGTCAGTTATTTTATAAACCATCCTTCAATTTCAGTTTGCCTGATGTTTCCCTCTTGATTAAATGGAGATTAGGCATTTTTGCAAGAACACCCCAGAAGTGATGTGCTCTCAGTTAGTTATACTCGGTGTACCTAATGTCGATATATCTTATTACTGTTGATGTTAACCTTGAAAACTTGGTTAAGGTAGTGCCTGCTGGCTTTCTCCATTGTAAAATTACTATTTTTCCTTTCATACCTAATAAATATCTTGGGTGAAATACTTTAAGACTATGTAAATATCCTGTTTCTCCTCAAAATTTCAGCCACTAGTTTTAGCATCCATCAGTAGTTCTTGCTTGCAATAATTATTACTATATGCCACTAAATTTTGGGTGACTTTAATGCAACAATGGATAACTGGAGTGATTTGCATCAGCATTATTTTTAATTACTGTATATTAATTCACTATATGGATGTACCATCATTTGTTTAACTAAGACCCTCCTGTTAAACATTTAGATTATTTCCTTTGTTTTTCAATTTTTTAAAAATTATGTGTAATGCTGCAATAACATCTTTATGCTATTATTTTATTACCTTCTGTGGTAGTCTGAAAAAATGCCCTGCCCCCCAAGAAATATCCATGGCAGCTGTGAATTCTACTTTATTTGGAAAAGGGGTCTTTGTAGATATGATTAAGTTAAGGATTTTAAGATGAGGAGATTATCCTGGAATATGGAGGTGGGCCCTAAATGCCATTATTATTATTATTTAAAAAAAATTTTTTTTTGATGACATTGGTTAATGAAATCTAGTAAGTACTAAATTATAACTATCCTTATAAGAGAGGGAGAATAGAAGGCAATGTGAAGATAGAGGCAGAGATTGAAGTGATGTGTCCTCAAGCCAGGGAATGCTGGCGTCACCAGAAACTGGCAGAGGTCAGGAATGGAATCTCAACTAAGGCCCTTAAAAAATACGATCCTACTGACATCTTGATTTGAACTTCTGGTCTCCAAAACTGTGAGAAAATATATTTGGATAGTTTCAAGTGACCAAGTTTGTGTTAACTGGTGACACCAGTTACAAGAAACTAATACACCTTTGAATAAATTCCTATACGACAAATTAGTTTGTCAAAGGTGTTGGACTTTTAAAATATTTTTATCTATATCGACTTATTGAAAGGTTATATCAATTTAGACTCCCACCAACATTGTATCTTAATGTTGTGTTCCTATGCCCATAACAACAATGGATTTCGTAATTGTTTTAAATCTTTGTTTATTTAAAATGGAATCGCAATAATTTGTATCTCTCAGGGAAGTTGAATATTTATTCTATTGTTTAGCCATTTTGTGAATTATTTGTTCTTTTATAATGTAAGGTATTCCTTTTTATTGATCTGAAAGACTCCTATACATGTTGAGGATACGGATTCTTTGTCATAAATATCAAATACATTTTCTTCTAACTTATTTTTCTTTAGTTTTGTATTATTTCTTGCTTTACCAAAGTTAATATTTTTTTAGTTTAGGTAAATAGTCATTTATGTTGTTATTTTGTTGCTCTGCTTAAAAAAGCCATTTTCAATTTAAGATTATATAAAAATGTACCTGTTTTCCTTTAGTACAGTTATTATTTTATGAAATAATTATGACAATCTACTTGGAATTTGTTTTGGTGTTGCAAATGAAGTAGAAAGTTGATTTAGGTTTTTCCCCCTAATTTGTTAGCTTGTTATGTTGAGACCTTTTATTGAATAATACATGATTTCCTCACATTTGAAATATTAACTTTATCATGCACTAATTTGGTCTATTTACAAAATGTCTATTCTATTGCCTTAATATTTCTGTCTGTGCTGATGTTAGTATTGTACTGTTTTGATTATTGTAACTTCGTAATGCATTTTATTAGGGCAGCTATGTTGTCTTTTATAAAAAGTTTTTTTTGGAACAACATATTTTTCTCTCTGAGAGCTGTTTAGCAATGACTACATTATTTAAGAAAAAAGACTGCAAAGCATCTTTAAACCTATAGCTTATAAATGCTTTTTACTAATTTAAATATTTAAAGACTATTGTATGAAGGTAATCTGTCTCAAAGTTTTTCTATTTTCTTTCGTGTCTCTTGGTAATTCTATACTTTCATAGAATTGAGACTATGCCCCTTATTTCAAATTAAAAAAATAACAGTGCCAGGAATGCGACTCTGGATGCCATAGCATCTCAGCTTTTGTATTTTAGAAAGCAGATGCTAAATGCTGATTTCTCTAATGCTTGAGGCAATAGACAAGGGGGTCCATGATGGCCTTTTGACATTAACAGAGTTCACTACCAAGTGAACTTTTGGCCCCGGAGGGCAAGACTTTCGTTTTCAGTTAGTTGCCCTTTCTTCAGAATTAAATCAGAGCTATCAAATACGTGAATTTCTAAAGCTCATGACATGTATATTTGGCTTAAACTTATAGAGCTCATAGTTGTATCCCTGGAGTTCCAAGACTACTACTGTAGTTCCCCTAGACAGTTACAGTCATGTTAGATTAGTACTAATGTTGTAATGTGGAGTTAGGCTTAATGAGCTGAAAGCTGGAGTTACCAGGGGCTTGAAAGTTATGTTCAGAGAGAATCATTGCTTTAAACACTATCACGTTAGAATTTAGACTTTTACATTTTGAATTCTTAGTCAATTATAACATATTGGCAGAGCAGGTAAGATTTATGAGATTTATTTCTTTATATTTGTATTTTGTTGAAATTTTAT